CCCAGCAGCGAAGGGCCGTTTCTCTGCTCTGGACCCGCCCAGCTTTTCCCACCGTGGGTGTCTGAGCTGCTGCGGCACTTGCGGGTATGCAGAATTGCACTGTGGTTTCCACGTGCACTTCCCTGATGAAAGTGACACTGGGCATCTTCACACGCTTCCTGCCATCTGTGGATCGTCTTTGGTGTGGTGTCCACTAATATCTTCTGTCTACTTTAAAAACTGGGCTACTTTCTTGTTGAGTTTGGGGGGTTCATTATATGACACAGAAACAACTCCTTTGTCAAAAATGTGACATGCAAATATTTCCTTCCAGGCTGTGGCTTGTTTTTTCATTTCCTTAACAGTATCATTTGCAGAGAAAAACTTTCTTTTTGGAGACAGGGTCTCACTTTGTAACCCAGGCTGGAGTGCAGTGGCTCAATCACGGCTCACTGTAGCCTCAACCTCTTCAGCTCAAGCAATCCTCCCACCTTAGTCCCCCGAGGAGCTGGGACTGCAGACACACATCACCATGCTCAGCTGATTTTTTCTATTTTTTGTAGTGACACAGTTTCACTATATTGCCCAGCCTGGTCTTGAACTTCTGGGCTCAAGTGATCCTCCTGCCTTGGCCTCCCCAGGTGATGGTGTTACAGGCATGGCAGGCCACCACACCTGGCCAAAACGTTCACATGATGGCAAAGTCTAATTTATTATTTTTTTCCCTTTAAGGATCATGGTTTTGATCTGTCTAAAAACTCTTTGCCTAACCCAAAGTCGGGCATATTTTTTGTGTATTTTCTTCTGGAAGGTTTAGAGCTTTACAAATAGGCCAAGGATCCATTCTGGGTGGGTTTTCGCATGAGGTGTGCGGCAGAGGTTGTGGGTCTGTTGCTCGTGGGCGACCAGTCGTCCCAACATCTGCAGACACACCTCTTCTCCACCCGGTCTCCCTTCACACTTGCCACAGATCATGACGGCTGTGCGTGTCTTTCTGGGCTCTCTTTTCTGTTCCACGGAACTTTTTCTCTACCCTTTCGCCAATAATACATTGTCTAATTGATTATTGTTTTACAGGAAGTCTGGAACTCAGGTAGCGCGTCTTCCAACTTTGTGCTTTTTCTAAATTGTTTTGGCGATTTGAATTCCCCTGCGTTTCTGTATAAATTCTAGAATGAGCTTGTCGATGTGAAACAGCACCAAGGCCCTCGATCCACGCGTGTCCGTTCATGCGCTTCACAGCCGCTCTCCTCAGTGCCGGTGGGTCTCCAGCACACACAGCCTGTGGGCATTGTGTTAGAGGTACACTTCCGTGTTTCACTTTCATGTATTATTATAAATGCTTAAATGTAGTATTTAAAATGTCAAAAAATGTTTTCAAACCCCAATTATTCATTGTTAGTATACAGAATAAAAAATGATATTGAAAAATTATTCCCTGTATCCTGAAACGTTAGGGCGTTTACTAGGACAGGAGGTTGTGTGTGTGTGTGTGTGTGTGTGTGTGTGTGTGTGTGTGTGTATGGATTCCCTGGGATTTTCTATGTAGAAAATTATTGCATCTACAGAGATATTTTTATTTCCTCCTTTCTATTCTCACTGTTTTAAATTTTTTATTGCCGTATTCACTATTATTTTGAAAAGTATATAAGTATACAATTATACATTTCAAAAGATAAAACCATTTGAAAGTACTCTACAAAAAATAAAAAATAGTGGTCTGAACAGTTCAACATCTAATGGTTTAAAGATTTTATGAAGAACTGTATGATACTTGACATCTTGACAAGCAGCACAACTGCAAGTCAGATGTCTCTGTAATTAGCTGGTCCTGTAAGTCTATGAATTGGTAACAAAACTCACAGCCACAGTCTGAGGTATGCTGGGACCACGTGGGCTGGCTCAGTTAACCAGGGTCACCTGCCCTGTCCTGAGGCCCAGATCTCAGAGCCACGTGGCTTCTGTGACAGGTCACGCCACTCAGGAGAAGTGAAGGCATGTGCAGAGTCATGCGCAGAGTCAGAGACACAAGCAGGTCAGCTTCCTGTCCTGTTGGCAGCATCCAGAAAAGTAAGTGCCTGACCTCATCTGAGCCAAGTTTAATAGTTCAAAGCAGAATTTGAGCTTCAAAAGAACAACATACTGCTGCAAATATACCATTTTCTGTAAAGAATAAAAGCTATGTAGTTTTAGGAAAACGAGGGAAATCCTGCCTCTTGGTTTCCTGATTCATTCACTGCCTCAGCCGTTTACCAAACACTTAACTGAACAGATACTGTGCCCGTGCAGGGCTCAGGCTGTGGAGACAGAGCAGGGACAAATGTCTATACTCGAGACTGTATCACCTCATTACGACAGTAAGTGAAATTTCTAATTGTGCATTATTCATACTTTCAGATGGAAAGGTTATCAACTACACATAAACAACAGATTTTATTGCCAGCCGAGTCTTTTCCAGCGCGCAGGCCATGCCCGCCTTGCCTCCCGGGCTTGCCTCTGAAGGTCTTTTATGAATTTACGGTGACTCAGAACTGACTGGATCAGCACTTGCTGGCCAGTCACTCGCATTTCAGTCTGCAACCCTCTGCTCTGTTGTCCTGCGCTACTGATGAACTGCATTCTCATCCTGACTAGGATGCAGGCTTGTCGAGGACAAGGCTGTGCTGTCTGACACCGCAGGCACTTGAGCTGCCAGGCTGGACCTGGCGTCCGTGGACACCTGCCGACTGGCTCCAGTCTCCAGCTGCCCGGATCAGCAGACAGCGACGCAGAGTGCTGCAGTCTATGCTACCTTGGCAAACTCTTTGGAAGTCACAGAAAGCTTCAAAACAGTTCTTTAGCTTCAATAAGAAAAAATAACTAAATTTTATTAACTTCAGTGGCGCTACTTTCTTTTCAAAGGATTTGAAGTGTGGTAGATTTTTTTTGAAAAAGATAAAATGCAGGTAAGAAAAGAAGCTCAGAGAAAATGAGTGACTGAATTCTTGTCAAAAAAATGTAGGCATGACGTCCTGACTTTAGGATTCTGGCACATTCCAAATTGTTGATCACCTTAACAAAAATGGAAATTTCATACCTTTAATGAGATCCAACTCAGTCGGAAGAAAACTGGGTATCCCCTTGGTTTTAAATGGCACCAGTGGGTACCACGGAACCTACTGATTCCACAGCTACGGTTAGGGATAATTACATGCTCCGTCAGACACCTGTGGCCCTATGAACATCTTGTTACTAGAATAGTTTAGATATCCACAAAGAAAGATACCAGTAGGTACAATCTAAATCCTTGAAAACAGTAAAAACGTGTTATTGCCTGACTCCAACAGCTGGTCAGGATGGCTGCGGTATCACAGTCCAGCACAGCGATCCAGGAGCACCAGCGGCAGCTACCAGATGCCTCATGACCTTCGCCCTGCTTGGGGCGGGCTGCCTAGGCTGAGCGCGGCACACTGAGGTCTACACTCGTTCACGAGAACCTTGTTTGTCTGTACGCCCGTATGTCTGTAGGGCAGCATTCAGGCGAACATTTTGGAGTCTCTGGGAATGAGGACACACAGCTTCTTACGAGTTCCCGAAGTTTTAGAGCTTTGCTCCCCACTCTGCTGCACTTTATCACAATGCTTTCATCAGTTTAAGATGCTAAACCGGTCTCTCTTGTAGCTGTAACAGGTGTGGCCTGGGATGATGTGTCCCGGTGGTCAGGACGGTATCACCATCAAATAATGCTCGGCATTTATATGTTATGTGATACTGGTGAACTAGCTTTATTTGTCCTGATTATAACAGTATTGGGAATTTTATATTTTTTTTCAAGAAACTTTAAAGTCTTTATTTCATTATGAGACCCTTACAATAACATCAAGAAATTAAAATGTTAACACGACTTACCCAGCACCTCTCTGTGTGAGTTAGCTGGACTAGTCTAGTTTGTCAGTGGGCGGTTAGCTAGGTAAGAGTGTAGTTTGTTAGTGGTTAGCTGTATTAGATACAGTTTGTTAGTTACTAGTTAGACAGGAGTCTAGTTTCTTAGTTTGTGAATATGTAAGAATCTAGTTGGTTAATTAGGGGTTAGCTGGACTAGAATCTGTTAGTCGTTAGCTGAACTAAAGGCTAGTTTCTTTAACGCCTAATCTAATTCTTCACCATACAGGTACTGCTTTAACAATCTAGAGTTGATGATTTCAGACGCCTGTCATTTATCGATTATAAAACTAAATTTAATGGAGGATTAGTGGATTTTGTTCTCAGTGTTGGTTCAAAAAAGCTAGCTTTGTGGGAAACAGCAGAGTTAGCACGACTTGTGTCTGGAGAGCTGAGCCTCTCTTCTATCTACCCTGAATCCTTATACGTCCTATGCTATAAAATATGCTGTCGTAAAGAACATGGTGAATTCAAAGCCTCCTTTAAGAATATTTTAATCCTAACGCAGCACAGTTTTAAGCTAAATAAATGCATCTTTCACAGAGTTTCCGGTGACGGAAGTTTTCTGGGTTGGTTTTTTTTCTGGCGGCATCACTGAAAAAGTAGCCTGTGGATCTCAGGGACACGCGAACTGTCAGTCACGTTTCAGATCACTTCTGAAGTCCACGACTACTGACAAGATTTGGAACTACATGGGAAGCACGCAGCCCAGGACCCCGGCTTCAGAACGCTACTTCCGCCCACGTGCCGGGAGGCTGCCCGGGGAGCCTTCGACAGAAATTACCAAGTGAGCTCTTCTCCACTTCACAGAAGTTCCACAAATGGTTAGAGCATCCTTTACAATTCTAATTTCGTGTGAATTAGAGCTTTACTGCAAACATTTCAGAAAATTTTTTTCAGAGATGTTTTTTCCCCTTTTGAAATTTAACTCAAAGGGAAAAATGCCAAAGAAAATCAGGAGACATAAAAAACATCTCAAAGGACAGAGAATTGGTTTTCACAAAATGCTTGGAAATGCCCCTGACCGGCCTGTTTCACACTCATGTAAAATGCCAGGCGTGGGTGCCCGTGGAGAGGCAGACGCCTGCTGAGGCCCATACCTTGGTGAGGTCCTTGTACAGCTCCGGGTAGAGCATCGCCATCTCTGGCTTCACGTCCTGGTCCAGCACTAAGGAGAACACGGGGAACATGGTGTACACGGTCGCATACCTGCAAGACCGAAAGCAGAGTGCACAAAGCTGAGACGCTTCAACCGCACAGCGATGGACAGACCTGTGGGTCACAGCGCAGCTCCAACAAACCAAAAATACTCCACGAAACCGAAAAAGCAAGCTGGCAACCAAGTCAGATTACTGCAGAGAACTGAGCATTTATCTCATGTCCCAATAACACGCTCTGTACGTCCAAATGCTTACGGGTGGAAGAATGATTTTGAAACATGTTCACCTTGCTATGTTGAGGTCACTGTGAACTTCCCCACCGGAATCCACAGGGACACCTCCTGCCCAGAGCACCCCTCGCACAGGGTCCCTCCTGCGGCTGCTCTACGGCTGCAACCACTTCCCTCTGCCACCTCCTCCCACCCCTGGCAAGCACAAACCCGTTCTCCATCTCTAATCTGGTCATTTCAAGAATGCTATGCAAATGGCACTCTACAGCGGGCAGCTCTGGGGATTGGCATCTTTTATGCAGCACAGTTCTCTGGAGATTCATCCAGGTTGCTGCTGTATCAATAGCTAATTTCTTTCTATTGCTGACTAGTATTTGGCGGCAGGCAAATGAAGCATAGTTTGATTAACCACTGAAGTACATTTGGGTTAGTCCTAGTTTTGATTAACACAAATAAAACTGCTGTAAATATTCACCGTACAGTTTTTCTGGTGAAGTTTCCATTTGTTTTGGACAGGAGGGCCAGCTGAGATGGTAGGCCTAGGAGTATAAGCGCCAGGTCACATGGCGGTGGTGTAGTTTTTCAAAGAAACCGCTGAAACATCTTCCAGACTGTAGGATTTACACTCCTAAGGTGATACAAGAGCTGCCCCGTTTCCATGACTCTTCCCCGCAATTCTGGCAGGTGTGAGGCGGAGCGTCCTGCCGTCTAACCCGGTCTCACTGTGGCTGATGCCGCGGGCGTCGTTTCAGGAGCTTCCTCGCAGTCTGTGCGTAGCGGTCTCTATGTGCGACACACAGGGTGGCTGTCTCTGCGCCTTCTGTCCTTTTCCTACCCGGCCTGTTCCTGCATGGCTGCGTCTGGGGATTGCTTAGGCACTGCTGGACACGTGTCTTGCCCATACCCCCTTTCAATCGGGGCTGCAGCGTCTGTGCCCGCGAGGCCTTTCCCCAGCACTGCAGTCCCTCGGCCTGCACGCTGTTCAATCGTCCCCACCTACCGTCTCCTCACTGCTGCTTTCACTGTGGTTTCCTTGTCTCTGGTTTTTATCAATTTGATTATGATGATCTTAGTGTGAATTTCTTTGAATTAATCCTGCTCAGGGTTTGCTTACCTTCTTCAATCTGTACATTTACGTCTTTGGCCAAATCTGGGAGGTTTTCAGCCCTTTTTCCTTTAAGTACTTTCCTAGCCTGTCTCTCCTCCCCTGAAACTCCCAGGGCAAAAACGGCGCACTGGCCGGGGCTCCCACATAACGGCGCAGTGGCCGGGGCTCCCACACACGTGGCGCAGAGGCCGGGGCTCCCACATAACGGTGCAGTGGCCGGGGCTCCCACGTAACGGCGCAGTGGCCGGGGCTCCCACGTAACGGCGCAGTGGCCGGGGCTCCCACATAACGGCGCAGAGGCCGGGGCTCCCACATAACGGTGCAGTGGCCGGGGCTCCCACATAACGGCGCAGTGGCCGGGGCTCCCACATAACGGCGCAGTGGCCGGGGCTCCCACACACACGGCGCAGAGGCCGCCTTGCATGTCCTTGAGGCTCTGATCCTTTCTTTTTTTGGTCAATTCTTTCTCTGTTGTTCACCGAGCACTTTCTGCGTTTCCGTCTCCAGTTTGCTGCGTCTGTCCTGTCGTTCCGCTTTGCTGCTGAGCCCAGCCGTGGCATTTTTTCATCTCTGATTCCCATCTGGCTCTGCTCTGCATCTTGTCTGCTGGGCTGCTCTGTGCTGCCATTTGCTGCCAGTGTGTTTGTCATTTCTCTTTAGAGCATGTCCCGTGGCTGTTTCCCAACCTTTGTCAGAGAATGCTAAGGTCTCTGCCATCTCAGGGCTGCCTTCTATTGACTGTCTTTCCATTCACCTTGAAAGCTTCCTGGTTCTTGGTATGGCAAGTGACTGGGCTGGAAACCTCCACGTTCTGGGTATTGTGTACGAGACTCCGGATTTTCTGGAGGGTCCTGGTCCTGCTCTGGTGGAGAGAGGAGGGCACTGCCTGGCTGCTGTGCAGGGGCAGGAGTTCGCGCTCCCCATGCGGCCTCCACTGACACTGGGGCTCACTACCGCAACACTGGGGATGGAGTCCTGCCTCCCATTCCACCACCCTGGAGATGGGGCATGGCTGCATCTCATGAAGTGGCACTCTCAGCTCTCCACTTGCCTTTTGGTGAGGGGAGGCAGGCATAGCCTTGCCCTGGCATCTGGCTGGAATAGTGTGATGATCATCTGAAAGACATGTCATCTATCTTCCTGGCGACCCTTTCGTGGACCTGCGATTGGAGAGGCTGGGACCTTGGTGGGACTTTTAGATTTTAAATTTCCACACCCAGGGCCGTTTCCAGGCTGCTGGCACCTTCGGCTCCAGCTGTTGGAAAACCCAGGGAGCTCTTTCTGCCTTGCTTCTTGGAGCCAAGGGCCCCACCCCCCATTCACGTCGCTCCCCACTCAGAGCCTTCTGTGTGTGATGCCCCTAGTTTCTCACTGAACTTAGCAGAAGGAGCGGGGAGGAACCCATCTATCCCACCTCCTACTGCCCTGGACGTGCAGCTGGTTTGTTGGTTGGTTGCTTTTCAGACAGGGTCTCTCTCGGTGGCCCAGGATGGAGTACAATGGTGCGATGATGACTCACTGCAGCCTTGACCTCCTGGGCTCGGCTGATCCTGTCACCTCAGCCCCCGGAGCAGCCGGGACCGCAGGTGTGCACCACCATGCCCGGCTACTGTTATTTTGTAGAGACAGGGTCTTGCCATGCTTCCCAGGCTGGTCTCAAACTCCTGGCCTCAAGAAATCTTCCCAACTTGGCCTCCCAAAGTGCCACTTTAGGAGCCAATTGGCTTTTTTTTTTTTTTTTTTTTTTTTGGTTTGTTTTGTTAAATGACATTTTCACCTATAAGAAAGCATTCAAGTTGGGAAAGTTATCCTATGGCAGAGAACCAGAAAAAAACCATGACACTGTGGTACCTTTTTGTGGGTAACACCCGCCACAGGCACCAAGGAAGGAGAACTGTCTAGACCCCAGGCACAGCTAGTGCCTGGAGAATATTAGTTTATAGTATTATTACTCAGCTGTTTCCTTTATATAATCCTTCATATATAAGCATATATTAGTTTACAGAATTAGTGCTTGAAGTCTAACTTACTGCTTACATATATCTAACATACTTAGTTCTATATATCTTTCTGTATAATCATACAGGTATTGTAGTCAGAGCTGTACTGACACATTTAGTGCTGATTTATAGAATCCTCCTATATAACCACTTAGTAGTCTGTAGTAGGAGGAATGCCCAGAGCAGTCACAGCACAGAAGCAGCACATGGGAAAACAGCCAGACCAGGACGAGAACCAAAGACCCAGGCGGTGGCGTCCCTGCCTGAAAGGGCACACGCTGTACGGCAGGCTTGGAGCAGGAGCCTCTCCTCCTGATAAAGGAGCTGTAGCACCTTGCATCCAGTTCCTGTGGAAAGTCGGCCTCAGGCCTGAGATCCTGGAAGTAACCGAGGGAGAAGAACCCTCTGGTGTGACCAGTCACAGCGGCTGGACACCCTGTCAGTCTTTTCTCGCTTCTGTGCTAGCTCAAATCATCCTCCCATAAATATCTTAAAAGAAGAGCACAAGTCTGTCAGCTCCCACTGCATTGGCTTACGGTATCCTTCTATTAGAAACCCTTTGAAGTCTCCAGCCCCCACATAAGAAGTGCTGCACACAGCCCACCTCCTTGCCTCAGTGACCTAATGGGGGTGGACCCCTTTCCTGCACACGACCCTCTACTACTGCGCACGGCACGGCCCCCTACTGCGCACGGCCCACCTCTCTGCCCAAGTGACACAATGGGGTGGCCCCCTCGCTTGTTTAACTCATGTGATTATGTATGCCCTGTCATTAAGCCTATAGATGATGACCTCACTCACGACCCTGCCCCCTGCTTGTACCTAACAAATACAGATGCTTCTGGGCATTTTGGGCTCTTGCTGATCTCCGCTCACAGGTGGCCTGGCCCCCGAGTCCAGATGCTCTTCACCAGTTCTTCGGTGTCCTGTCTCTTCACCTCTTGGATCCTGCACCTCAACACAGCATTAGGGACGCCCCACAACCATGTGGGGCACCACAGCCCTACACCGTTTAGTCCTGAAAACATGTGGATATCTGAAGGCTGCATTCCGTTTTAATATGGCTGAGATTCCACGGTCGCTAAATGTAGACTGTTCTATTTTTTACACTCTTGTGGGCTCTACAGAACCATCTTCTTCTAAGGAATTTTTAGTCGATTTCATATCCTTCTGTTTTCTTGATGGGCTGCTGCTGGGCACTGAACACCACATGCTCAGAGACCTTTACCCAGAAATTCCACCTTTAATCCTTTATTAGGTTCAACTTGTACAGCACTGTTGGACTTTCCTCCAAATCTTCAATTGCTTTTGTTAATTTTCTTTGAACAATTCCCACTCCGCTTAGAATTTAGGAACAGGGCCAAATAATTCAAGAAGAGCCTGACCGCAAGGAAAGATGGCGGGTCATCCCTCTGACGGCTGAGAACTCTGTCCCGTGCGCACAGGCCTGCGGCCACTCAGGCAATCGGCCTGTGACTCACTCGCAGCACCAGGCAGGGTCACGTGCAGTCACCATTTCTGTATAGCACATTTGTAAGAACTCTTGCTTTATTTATGCTAGAAAGTTCCCAATCTCTTGCAACCTTTAACAAAAAAACCCACCACTGCCTCCTTTTCATAAACCTACTCTCTCGAGGTGCACCTTTCAGCATGTGTGATGAGTTTTGACGAGTGTCGTGGAACCGCCATGCGATCATGCGCAGAGCGTCCG